TAAAAAGTCTAAAAATATTTACTGTGGGAAAAGTACTCCAATTTTCCGCTGACCACCACGCGGGGTGACCGCTTTGCAAGTTGTGAGAACATCGTTTCTCGGTCCCAGACCTCGTCTCTTCCCCCCCCCTGGTGATGGACTTTTATGGGGTAACTCGGCGATAAATTCCATCGACAGAAAACAAAAAAAACAAAGAAAGAAAGTTGCATATTCGGTTAGAGAACTCGATTGACAGCACCAGTGATATGCATCGGTGGGGTGGGGGGAGAGGGGGTATTCGAACCCTTGCATTTGATCCAAGTTTTTAAATTGTCCGAGTGACTGAACATCAGAGCTAGCTGTCAGTGACGATTTTTGTTTCTATCTTTCTTTCCATTTTTTTTACCTTTGTTTTCTTGTCCCGAGTATGTTAGCAACATTTGCATGAGAACTGAATACGACCGTGCGCACTTCCATGACAGTTAAAGACCTCTGCCATCTGTTCCAGTTTCGAAGACAGGAAGTTCAAGCTGATATGCTTAGCCTAATTTTTGTCTTCATGATCCTTTCAGTCTCTAACATTTTTGCACTTCATACACGAAAAACAGTCGACTGAGCAAAAATAAACAACAGCCGCGAACAGTTTGGTGTTTAATCTTCTACTTCTGTATTCAAACAGTGCACACTTTCTTTCGTAGCCGAAATACAAAAACATGCCCTTTCACAATAATGCTGTTTCTTGTTGATGGAAATCGGAAGAAAATAATTTCTTTGGCGCGATGCCACCATCTTTACATTAAAATCGTTGTTTTGAGACTATTATACGCGCTTAAACTGAGAAATGTAAAGCGAGAAGATGCAACTTGATCATTATGACATAATAAACCATATTTTTGTCTGCAAAAACTATGTATGTACAAGGAATAGACTTCACTTTCTATTGGTTTACCGGCGAAAGAACCCATTTGGGATGTTGGGAGAACACGAGATCAAAAAAGCTTGTAAATAGTGTTCTCCCAGTATGTCGCTTAAGTTATTTCGCTGGTAAACCCAAAGAAAGTGCGGCCTGGGCGCCTGAGGTAACAACTTATTGATCATTGATCGAGGAAATGTTTCTGTAAGGGACCAGTCATTATTTATCGCCTAGGGGAAAGGAGGGGGGGCGGAGGATTTTGGGCTTAACACGGCAAAATATGGCTGACTCCTCCCTTTAAATGATATTTTACTGAACTGATCCCCCTCATAACTCTTGATAACTTTCGTGATTCCCCCAAAGTTTTTCCACCCATGTTCACCTTTCGACGTGTATATTTTCCGTTTTTTGTTTTGTTTTGTTTGTTTGTCAACGACAGAAAGAAAGAAGGAAAACAAGGAAAGTCCAAAAAAAAAAACAATTCAGGGAGAGGCGACTCGAGGTACATCAGCTGTTGGGAAACTTATATCCAGTTGAGACCGCAGACAATTCCCTCCCAGTAGAATGGATGTATTTATTTTGCATGCTTTCAAAGTGGCATTGTCCAAGCAGATTTAAGAGGTCGCTTTAACTGAATTCTTCAAAATTTTTTTCAGTGATCCCTCCCTTGGGTTCTCATTTACGAATGATCCCACGTTCTGTTCTCCTAAAAGTCAAGTGATCCCCCCCAAAAAAAACCTCCGACCCCCCCCGCCCCCCCTCCGGACGATAAATAATGACTGGTCCCTAAACTTTAACTCCTTCCCAGATCTGATGCCATAATGATAACACTCGCACTGTTCGTGTCACTCCTCTTGGCAGTAACAAGGCGTTATTCTGGTAAGTGTGTCCATTTGATTTATAACATTTTCAATAGTTAATTTCATAATAACTGAGAGATTTCTTGCGCGCTTTTTGGTCTTCGAGAGCTGGGTAGATGTAAATTTTTAAGAACTTTTTTTTAAGGGAGCTTACCTGAATATATTGAGTGGTAAGTAACGCGGGCGCATCTAGACACCCACGGCTGCCCATGGTACAGCAAGTGTGGCTTCCGCCTCCAGGCACGGCTTATAACACTTTCAACGACCTTGATCAACCTCATCCAATAACTGCATTGTTTATTATCGTTAATTCACAAGAATCAAAGGTACCCAATTTGATCCTTTTTAGCTTTGGAATGTCTAGAAGAGTGGAGCGAATTCGAAGGCTTTTGCTACAAGGTTATGGATAGGCTCGGTTATCCGCGGAGATTTGCCTGGTCAACAGCTTTAAGCGGGTGTTTGGGGTTTGGAGGAGACCTGGTAAGCATATTGAATGAAAAGGAAATGAAGTTTGTCCATGACATGGCTTTCAAGGACGCAAAACGCACTTCTGTTTGGATTGGGTTGGCGTATCGGCATCAAAAGGGTGGATATGTATGGAACAATGGAGAATCGTTTAACAGTTCTGTTTCCGTCCATTGGCTCGGCAATATGTCGAGAACTGTTTATGAAAATAAATGCGTCGAAATCTTGAAAAGTGGCTGGAAACTCTCCAAATGTTGTAAGGAAAATGAATATTTTATCTGCAAGAGACCGAAAGGTTAGTTGTTCCCGTGGGGAAATCAACATTGAAAATAATGGGGAAGCTGCGATCGTACTAGGTACGACCAGAGCACAGGTAAAATTTGATCCCTGATTAAGACGCTAAAACTGTAGAATGACCTGCGTTAGAGCTTTCTCATGTGAAGTAAGGAATGGCTCCAAATAGCCTTTACGCCTCTAAGGCTCCACCCTGACGTTTGGCTTTTATCAATTGTTTTCTCGTTCTGTTTCGCATATCATTTAACGTTAATTATAACTGTGCCTGGGTAAAAGGGTTTTTTTGGTGGTTACATTACACTTTTTGTCACATGACCAGCCACGCTCATAATTATGCAAAACTTTACTTTTTAGAATTACTACACCCAAAAACTTAAAGATCCTAATTTTTCTTGTATTCTATTTAGTTTAATACTAAAGATAACAAATTGATCGCTGGTAAAAATTTTATAATATTTTAATCCCTTCACCCCCCCCCCCCTCCCCCCCCCGTTGAGAATTTGTTGTTCTTTGTTTTCAATCCAGTCTCCTTTAAAATAAAAACCAAAACCGGGCTTTTGTTGTTGTTTTGTTTCTTATGGGGTTAAACCAATTTCCTTTGTAATTTTTTTCAAATTTAGGTCATTTGTCTGGTCCTATGGGAGGGTTTTTTATTG